CACGAGAAACAAAACTACTTTTCCCTCTGCTGGTGACTGATGGGAACTGCAAGCGAGCGAAGAAACGCAGAAAGGTTTGCTTCCCTACTAGCTTCTCTCAGCTTGGGGGTCTTCTCTCCAAAATAGGCTTTGTAAAGCGCACTACTTGTAAACAGTTTATTTTATTGTACTGTGTTTTGTCTTATGTGCCTCATTAAGAAAATGCAAGTCATTTCTCCACCTTATTTTATTTTAAAGCTTTATTTATTTATTTATTTATTTAATTTTTTATGTGTAGGGGTGTTTTGTCTACATGTTTGTCTGCGAGCTACATGCATGCCTGGTGCTCAAGGAGTCCAGAGAGGACATCGGATCCCTTGGACCTGGAATTACAGATGGTTGTGAGCTGCTGCTCTACATTGCGAGTTCCAGGACATATATGGCTAAACTGAGAAATCCTGTCTCGAAAAACAAACAAAACAAAAATCTAGAGCTCCCTTCTGGCATTTTTGGTCAGAGAACCAAGGACATTTCTGGAGAAGCCATATTTTGACTTTTGGATTTTATCCCTTCCTGGACTCATAAAGTGTGAGATAACCATCTCCGGAAACTTTGAGCCTGGCATGCAAAGTCCTTGCCTGTGGCTCCTGAAGAGAGCTGTTGACCTGACGACAGAGCCGTGGCTAGTGGTGGAAAGAGGAATCAGGAGCCAGGCTCAGGATCCGAGGGGGTAAGTATAATGGGCACCTGGGCAAGTCTGTGTGGACAAACAGGAGTTATTTCAACAACTTTGCCTCTGAGAAGATAGGTAACAAGTCAAGCAGGGATGCTGAGTAAGCATCTGAACACAGGAGAAGACAGGTAGGCATCTGCATACAGGAGTGCCATGCTCAGAGAGAAAACAGGCAGGTGAAGGACTGTATGGTGGAAGGTAGAGGAAGTGTGAATTTCCCTTCTTTCCTGCTTTATGGGTTGGTGAAACAGATCAGAGTCTGGAAATAGATGTGGTGTGGTGGCTCACACTTATCATCCCAGGATTCAGGCTGATGCAACAGGCAGGATAAGATCGAGGACAGCTTGGGCAACAGAATGAGTTTGAGGCTACCCTAGACTACACGGTGTGTCTCTACTACAAAGGAAAAAAGTCTTTAAGATGAAGTGGCATTGCATTTATGCTCTGGGTTTGTTATGAGAATTAATGAGTGAACAATGCATGTTAGTGTGTTAAGAAAAGCACCTGTAGTCATTACTATTTCCATTCTATTTCAAATGGGAAACGGCCTTAACATAACTTGCTAACTTGCTGTTCATCTTGAAAAAATACCGGATGTCCTATTTTACATTTTTTAAAAAATCACATAGCTGGGCGGTGGTGGCCCAAGCCTTTAATCCCAGAACTCAGGATCGAGGCAGGCAGATCTCTGTGAGTTCAAGGCCAGCCTGATCTACTGAGCTAGTTCCAAGATAGCTAGGGCTGTTATACAGAAAAACCCAGTCTCGGGAAAAAAAAAATCATATTTAGCAGTTAAAGAATTGCGTGCCAGCCTGGCATGGTGGTACATGTCTTTAATCCCAGAACTCAGTTGGCAAGCAGATCTCTTTGAGTAGGAGGCCAGCCTGGTTTGTCTACATAGTGAGTTCCAGGACAGCCAGAGCTATATAGAAAGACTCTGCCTCAAAAATACATAAATGTAAGTAAGGTGTATTCATTAAGAAAATTGTGCATGAAATAAACTAGGGCTGGAGAGATGGCTCAGCCGCTTAGAGCACTTGGTGGCTTAGCATTTAGGAGCACTGATTGTTCTTACAGAGGTCCCGGTTCTTTCCGAGCACCCACATGGCAGCTCTCAAATATCTGCAATCCCAGTTCCAGGGGATCGATACCTTCTTCTGACTTCTCCAGGTACATGCAAGTAACGCACAAACATACACTCAGGCAAGCACTCATACACAGAATAAATACATCTTTAAAAAGAAGAAAGCAAACTAGCGGAGTAAAGTAAAACACCTGGATGATGGTTAACTGATATAGAGATCGGAACTTCTGAGTCGCGAATGCAAGTTTCCGGAGGGAGTTTGAGGGCGGATGCCCACGGTAGTTACACTAAGAAAGCCAACTTCCGGCACAGAGCTCTTTCGCGGCGTTTCGGCGGCCGGACGT